TAGGCCAATCAGCTAACCAGTATTTTCGCCCCTTCCTAAAATTACTTCAACCGAAGGTTTCCAGATGGATATGCGGAGCAAATCCATCTGGCGGAGTCAGGTTATCATGTCCCTCCGTTGTCGCACAAACTTGCCCCCACTTCCTCACCACCTCGGCCGTATCTAAACCCACAGCCAGTTCCTGATTGTTCCTCTGGCATTGTGGCGTGGAATAACAGCGCAGACCACGCTTCAGTATTGAGCATAACTCTAAAAAATATTTGCAACAAGCTCACTGCAACACACTGCTGTGGGGAGTACAACCAGCCCATAACTCAACACTGTTGACTTATGGGCTATTATTACTCTTAGTAATAGTCTGTTGTTGTTTTTATGCACTAACATATAAGAACATTCAGTTCATTTTTTAAATTACTTTCCTTCTGCCCCTTTTTTGTTTTTGTTTCTATATTTATCCTCTTGTGAAGCTGCATGCTTTTCCCTGTCATTTTGCTGCTAGTACACCTGAATGTCCCCACTGAGGGTTAACTACGCTGTGCTGGCCCCTACTGGTCACAGGTGGAACAGCACTGACATTTATATAATCCATCTGCATCATTTTTATGTAAGAGTCAGATTCAAAGCCTTTTCACACACCTGTAGATAAACAGAGAAGCATATACCGAACAGAGGGTTAGACCCCATCCCATAAGGCTGTTGGATATCAGGCAACAAACAGACATCTGATGTTATATTGGCCAGCTATGTTAAACACAGTGGTTCATAGCTCCCATACTTGTCTATGTTGATGAATAATATCACTGATCCAGCCTTTTCTATCATCCCTCACTACAAAATAAGCAATGAAAATATGTATGATTGGTGCTGATATCGTATTGTTTATAACTCTAAGCACAAATATCGGTGTCATATTGGAAATTAAAAGGTTGTATCAGGAAACTTTTAATTTCTAGTCTCAATGTTTAATCCAATATTTTGCCTTTATTGGATTAAATAAAGATTAAACCAAAGTTGTTTCCACTATCTTCACAACCCCAACCCCTTTACAGAGGAACAGAAGACTCGCCTATTCAGCCAGGCCAACAATTCCCTCTAACGACCCCCCTTTCAGAGACATAGACAGGTATGGGGCATTGCAGGCTAACAAAAGAAGCCAAACAACCCCCATTCCAAAGAGGTGGACCAGTTCTTCTGTTTTAATTTGGACGTTTTCTAAACAAAAACAAGACATTGTTGGGCTGCTGTGGGCGTGAGCCCACAGGGGAGCGTGGAGGCCAATCAATGGTATCAATTCCTTCATCCTCCAGGAACTGCCTGCATACTCTCGCCAC